GCTTGTTTCGAGAGCCGTTTGTAACCGCAAGCAGAAACAGAGTTCACGGTTTCAGGTTCTAGGTCAGGCCCGTGGTGCCCGGGGCACGTAACAACGGCAAGAACAGGGGACCAAGTAAAACGGTGGATAGCAAGAGGCGCGTTTAATGATCGTACGGTTGCCACGGCTGTTATTATCGTCCATTTCTCCGTTCTATCGGCGATCACATGCGCCGCGGGTCGTGATTCGCGATGGTGGTTTCATCGTGTAGGACCAACTGCGGGGACAGTTGTAGAGAGAGAAAGAGAGAGAAGGAGAAGACAGGAGGACAGACTGAAAGACCGCTGGTCCCGATACCGGAGATGATTTAGGAAACGCGACGGGGTTACGTGTCCCCAACGACGAGTTTCGCCGTTTCTTACGGCGATCCGCCGCACCGTGTAATCGCATTATATCCCGAGGAGCAACACCGTCTAAATATATATACACGCGACATTGTGCGCATAACAAGGCGTGGGTACGTAATCGATGAGCCGTGTACCAAAGATATCCTCGATAATCCGTAGCTCTCTCGCTGCGTTCTCAACCCTCTCTCGCTTGACGATGATCGAACTTCGTCTAATTCGTGAATAAAGGAAATTCTTTCGTTGCTATTTTAAACGAGAATTTTAACAATTCTCTCTCTCTCTCTCTCTCTCTCTCTCTCTGTCTTTCTCTCTGTGTATGAGAAAAATTGACAGAGCTTAAAGGGACAATTTAAGATAATGATTTTATTTACGACCAACTCTTGCTAACGTAAACGTTGAGAATACGAGATAGAAGGAACGATGCGCAGATTAGCTACGGTCTGATTCGACACGGCTCTAAAGGCACGAATCGAGAAAAAAGCGTGCAAGGACGCTCGACCTTTTCGCAACCAACCGAGTTGCCTAACCGCTTCGCGCGGATTTAATTGGATTCTCCAGGAAACGGAGAGAATCCTGGATATTAGGATTATCGTTCCGACTAATATTGCGCGCAAATCCACGCACGAAATTCGTAAAATAGACGCAAGAAAAAACCGTGGGTTTTTCTAATCGAAAACTTAGACAACTAGAAGAATATTCGCGAAACGAGCGTCTCACGTCGAACGACTTTGTACGTTTCAAGACGTCAGACACACGTCGATACCTCGACTAGCGGTAAGAGACAGGATGATGAGGATCACTGTCCTAGAAGTATCAAAAATGGAAGAATCGACGCCGTCGATGCCTTCAGGGCAGTATAGCTCCTGCGCGATCGTCTCGGACGTCGAGGCTATTCGCGGGCTAAAGCGGAGTTCGTTCCATGTCCGTGGAACGAACGAAGGAACGAAGGAACGAAAGAACGAAAGAACGAAGGAGAAAGGAAACCTCGGTAGAAAAGGGACGAGGGCCTGAGTAGAGGAAAAGAGAAGAGCTACTCTTCAGAGAGTGGAGAGAAAGATAGAAGGAACGAAGGGGCCTTACATAGCGATTGCTGGCAGGGCCTGAAATAGACCTCGAGAATCCCCTGTAGCATCTTCACCTCTCTTTCTTTGCCTCCTCCTTCACCACCACCACCGGCGCCTCTTTCTTATTCTCCTCCTGCTCATTCTCTTTCTATACTTCTTCTTCTTCTTCTCGTTCTTCTTCTCCCTCTTCTTCGTTCAACGTTAAGCGTCGCCTGCAGCTCTCGAGAGCCTCCCTTTTCTTTTGTTTTCGCAAAAAAGAAGAAAAAAGAAAAAGAAAAGAGAGAAAGACCAAGAGAAGTCCCTCGGCCTGGCTGTGAAAAGTTGTTCCTAGCGTCTCGTTCACGCAGATAGGGCGAACGCGACGGAGGAACGAAGACAAACGGGACGAAGAAGGTGGTGGAGGATCGCTTGTTTATCCAGGATCGAGCTTCTGCTTTCGTTTCACCCACCGATATATGGCCACAAACGGAGACCCCCGTAGGCATTTGCCGGACCTAAGTGCACTCCGCTGCGCTCTGCCGACTGCATTCCCATGGGAATACGTCGCTGCGAGTCCGACCTGTTAAACTGACCTGCGCCAATGTACCAGCGAAACGTGACCCACGCAAAGCTACGTGGTCCCCGGCATACTAGATTCGACTTCAGCCGCCTGTTTAGTCACAATCGCAGTCACACCAGCTCTTTTCCTCTTCCTTCGCGTGCCTTCCTTCACGAATACAGATATAAGCTCGCTCGCTAACAAACCACGTCATCGCAGTAAATTCGATTACCATCGAGAATTTAATTAAACGCGCCACGATCGGGAAACACCTCGTCATAATGAGAATCTATAATGAGAATAGCACGAGAGAGCTGAAAATAACCATCCCTGGATAATTTCTAATAATAAAGTATATTCTAAAGATAGAGAGCGTATAGAGGGGAATAGTTGCAGAAGGGATCTAAGAGTGAACGAGAGATATTTTAAGGGCCGGTTCAAGTCCTAACTACTCCCTCGCTTCAATTACGATCCGCTCCTATTTACGATCGACCTGACGTTACGGCCTCCGCTGTAATAAAGCACATACCACTTCGGCAATTTCGTTCCAAACGACGCTCTTCTACCTGACACGACCGTGTCGAATCTTTAAATAGATTATGCCCGGCTCGTTATGGAACGAACTGAAATCGACTCGCGTATCGGCGAACAACGCGCGAGATCGCGGGCGCTTTCGTGCGAGTGGAGGAAACGAGGAGAGAAGAACTCGACGACCGAAAGGGACTGAGGCGGGATACGCTTCGGATGTCACGCGAGTCCCTTTTTGCGGCGACTGGTCGCGCACCAGCCGTAACACCAAGAAATAACACGTCGCGTGTAATGATCATCGATCCGGCGATACCGCGGGATATCGAATTGATTGGACACGGCCTGAACAAAGACGAGGCGCGCGGAGCAGAAGCGCGAGAAGAGGAAAGGAGCCAAGAGCGAAAGGGGAAAGGAAGCAAGAGAAGAAAGAAAGAAATTCCGGGATAAAGTGAAGTGAATCTCGTCTCTCTCCGGTACCGATTGCATATCGTAATCGAAGTATAACTGGGTACCCTGGGTAGTACATCCAGTACGTTCGCAACGCGGGCGAAGCACGCGATACGTGCATGCAGAAGCGTGTGATCTCTCGTGCGAGAGAAGACGCGGTCAGAAATGAAGCCTACCTTGAGAGCCAAGAGACTTTTTGCCGAAGCGGTTGGTGGAACCGACGGTCGGGCAGTTGTGGATCCACAACGAAAGCAACGCCGGCAAGAAATTTCTCGACCAGACGAGATACTTCGAGAGGCTTCGCCTCGTGTTAAAGGGTTAATATCGGGTCCGGTGCATTAAGATGGGGCATCATTCTCGTAAAAGTGTCTCGAATGTCTCGTTCCTCGAACGTACCTACCGTGGCCATGGTATCGTAATGGTGAGAGAACGCGTAGATCGAAATAATTAACGTGTGGCGTTTGCGAAACGCGTGCGGACGCTTTTAAACTGGAACCCTCTATCTCCAGCACTGACCGTAGGTGCGCATTAAACTGGCGTAAAAATACTGGCAGCTGGATGTATTTAAACGATTGTAAAGCGATTATGCGTTTTTCAGACGTCGAAGATACCTCCCTTAATGGGAGGGGGAGAGGAGGAGAGAGACCGGTCAATGCCAGCGGTGAAAAAACTAAGCACGGAAAGATCCGAATAAGAATAAGAATAGACGGCGCCAAAGGCTTACAACAAGGGAACCGGTTCAAAACCTCCTGCGCCGATGTACACCGACTTTCATGGAGATTCTACCGAGTCATTTCGACCGTCGTGCGCGTACAATATATTGAACTCGTAATACCTGGCTCTGTGACTGCAACCAACGGTGTACCGACTCGATCGCGCAATTAGTATACTACGTCACACCGAATGTCGTTGACACGTATAGCTTACGATATGACAACTCGTGATAAACGTCGAGTCGAACGTTTCACGCTTCCCTGCGCAGCATCCGAGAGAGAAGAGCCAAGAGCACTTTCAACGAGAAGACGAAGTTGGTAATCGATTTCCAACGTTCTTGTCGCGAGTCGCGATTTACGTCCACCGATGCGATCGTCAACGTCGGCTCACGACAGATGGAAAACGGTGATTTTGAGGGATGGTATGCGCCGCGTTCTCGCGAGGCACGCTCAGAAATGAAGTCTACCTTGAGGCCTGCCACGATCGCTGTCTTTTTTTGCGCCAGTCCGCGTCGATACGATTCCATTCAGGACGATGAAGACCGTGAAGGGACGGCGAAGCGAAATTCCATCCACCGCGACCACCAACGTAAAACAAACTAAACGATGGAACAACGTTATTAATAGCGTGTACCGTGCACTCCAAATAGATCGGAGAGCGGAGTTCGACGACGAACCATCTTCTCGCCGACAACTTCGAGCCTCGCTCTCTGTTCCATTAGCAATTGGGCTCCACCGATTCTTGGAGGCTCTTCGATCTCGTTCGGATTCGTTCTTTGGCGTTTCGCGTACGCGTTAAAAGAAAGAAAAAAGAAGGAGAACAGTCGATAATCTTCAAGTCAAACAATATTCACCTACGATGAATCTTCGTTGTACAGAGAAAGAACGAAAGAGCGAGAGACGTTTCACCTTTGACACGTTGGTACGCTGTAAAGTTCGGCCGAGAGAGGAAAATTGGCGAAAGAACGAGCAAAGGAGAATAGGAGAACGCGACGATGCCGTGTCAACGAACGCACTGTATCATCCTCTCTAGCCTAACCATCCAGGCACCGACAATCCATTGTGACTCCTCACCTTTTCTTTTCTTTTTTTTCTTTTTTTTCTTTTTTCTGACCTCGTCACCTTGCAGATTTTTTGCGTGGCCAAGTCGATTACATTTCAGAGATCGTTTCGTATCCCCCGTCGACGTCTCAAGCTGTCCCGCTCCCTCTCGTGCCCGCTCGTTCCTTCGTGGACTCCGCTCGTCCTGCTCTAGGTTAGCCAGTGAATCATCTTCAACGACCCCCTCCTCTGGGATCCGGGCAGAAGACTCTTAAGGGGGCCCACAGCGCAGCGCGAGGCCAGTCCGAGAACGCGACCCTAACACTAACATCCGGTGTATTCCGAGAGTCGGAAACGGAAACGGCTGCTTGATCGATTAATCGACACACGCCACCATGAAGATCGCTCTGCTGCTGCTGCTCGTCGCGGCCTTCGCCTCAGGTTCGTACACATACACACACTCACACACACACACTCTCTCTCTCTCTCTTTCTTTCTCTCTTTCGATCTAATTTCCAGAGAATTTACTCTCTCGCGAGTCTGAAAGAATTTCGAATTCGAATTCGAGAGATAAGAGTGGCAATCATCCGGAAACTCCGGTTGGAATTCGTTCGGTACACGACGGATTGGCACGAAATTCGCGCCAAGTTGAAAACTTAAGTTCAAGATTTAGATTTCGAATATACCGAGCAATCCCAAGGATGATTCGTATCGGTTGGAACAACGCCAGCGATCTCGGCGGCCCGATCCGCGTCTCGATTCGTTTTACAAGTTTCTCTTTGTTCGTCCCTCGCTCTCCTCGGTCCTCGTATTCTCGTTTCCCCTCGGCGAAGACGTCGACTGACTCCGACACGTCCGGTGCATTCAAACGGCTGAAGAGGAAACTCGCGGTCGCTGATCACGCACCCGACGTTCAAGATCACTCGTCCGTCATTCTGACTCGTTTCCTCCGCGGCTCGTTATTCACGCTACGTTCGCGCGACGACTCTCTTGTGTTCAACGGATGGACAGCCAGTGCGTCCGGATTTTCATTAACGAGAAACTCTCCTTCCAATGGCTACGTCTGCTTACAGACGTCTGGTTACACTTTCAAGAATCTCTTTGTTTTTTAAACTGTTTGTTTCTTTCTTTTTCTCTCTGTCTCTCTCTCTCTCTCTCTCTCTCTCTCTCTCTCTCTCTCTCTTTTCTTCGATCGTTCTATTTCGAAATTTTGTTTCGTTCCAACAGTTTGGCCAGACACCAGCGTCGCGCAATATCGTTGTAATTCACGTTCGCGTTAATTGCGATACAAGCGGCGTTTAATTCGTGAATGAAATTGCGGCTTGCAGACGTCTAGCGGGCGTCTTCTTTCTAGAGAACACTCGGCGGCAGACATCTCAAGGTCTTCGGGTCGTTTACCACCACCTGTGCCGCCGGCTTCGCAGAGCATTTTTACGCGCAACTTACGCGCCATTTCCACTATTCTCGTCTAGAGTATCGTAACATTTCTCCGCGAAAGGTCACATTTTTTTCTTTTTCCCATCGAATATCGAATACGATCACGAATTACGACGTAGAATTTTATATTCTAGCAAGTACATTGAAAAAAATTATCAAGCTCTACGTTTGTCAGAGAATTTCAGTATATAACTCGAAGGCCATTTTTTGCGCGCAAAGGAAAAAGAGAACGAAGAGAGAATAGCTCGGACAGAGTTATTCGAGCGAAATTTCCAGTAACTTCGCGCCAGCCCCGCGGAAATTATTCGGTTGCCTAAACGAAACCGGTCATAATTTGTAAGTAAGTACAGTTAACCAAATAGACGTAGAAGGTCGATGAACTCGCACGGTACGTATCGTGTGAACACGCCACTTCTCACAAAGTACAGAGTCACTCGGTGAAGCTGGCTAAAACGAACAGCGTCGCTAATGTATATATATATATATATATACATCACGCACGCACGCACACGCGCGCACACACACACGCCAGAGAGGTAATAAATTAAAATCGCGATGGAAAATGATTTATAACGAGCGGCAGCGAACTGAGCTGAACCGAACACAATCGACCCGTTCGACGTGATGCTGCAAACTGATGCTGCAGTTTCTTTCTTTTTTTTTTTTTTAGCACGATCCGTATCGTAACGAACCTCACGAGGCTTAATTAACGGGAAGAGAAAGAAAGAAAGCGGGACACAATGGGAAACGGTGGATCTAGATTTCAATTTGAAATTCTGATAGGCTATAGAATTCGATGCGAATGGGAATGGGAATTCGTGAACATCGATCCATCGCGTAACTCAACGAATAAGAAAAATATTCATAGTTGTTGCCAGACGTAACGGTCCGAGCGACGACGCTAAAACGGAACACCCGGTAGATTAGAATTCACGGGATGATTTTTCCCGCGTCTTGGGGCTGCCATTTGTGGCCTGGTCGGAAGTCAATGGCGGCGACGTGCCTCGATGAGATAATACGAGGGCAAGAAAGGAGTTTCGTTTTTTATTTTCGTCAGATCGCTTTTGAAGCCGTTGAATTGATTCTTAAATAAACAGCGTAACATCGACACATAATTTTGAATTCATTTCAATAAATTCAATTCCATATAGGAATGCCGCGTGGAAACAATTGCTTTAACACATTGACAATCTGAATTATAATATTCTCGAACGATCGAGGTAAGAATAGTATCATCGACAAAGAAAATTTTGAGTAACACAGTATAAATTCTATGACACAGTATTCAACATTCCACGAATGAAAATGTAAGACATCTATAGATGTACATGTCTAGAAATGCCTTTATTTTATTAAACATAATATATACCAAAATAAAAATTCTGTTGTAGTGGGCATTTGAACGAATGAAAATATAAGACATCTGTAGATGTACATGTTTAGAAATGCCTTTATTTCAAACATAATTAAATTTTCCATTCCACAGGCAAAGCGTATAAATTTCGATAATAAACATATTAAGAATATAAATTGTAAAAGATTCTATCTGCATTTAGTAAGCAGAAATTTTCATATTTCTTCTTCGATATTGACCGGAGCACGGATCATAATTTAATGACGAATTGAACGAAACGAATTTACAGCTCAAAGAATCACGACGATTCAGCTAGACGGCGTGCAATACTTCGTGTCAAGGATGAATCCCTACAGTCCGGAGCTGAACTACTTCCTGGCCTATCAGTACTGTCGTTCGCTTGGCTTGCAGTTGGCCTCTTTCGAGACCAAGGAAAAAGCCGACACGATGACGCAGTACTTGAAAAACGCCGGCTACGTTAAATACGACTTCTGGACATCCGGTAACAAGTTGGGCACGGACATGTTCCTGTGGATGAGCACCGGTCTTCCGTTCAATGCCACCTTCGACTACATGCTGAGGCGACCTGGCAACAGACCTGCCGACGTTCCACCCGGTACCGAACCTCAACGAGTGGCACGCGAAAGGTAATCGCTAACCTGCACCAGTTAAAACTTCCACCAAAATCAATCCATAGATTACTTTGTAACAACCTTTGGAATTAAGAACCTTATCCTGCAACCTTTCGCGATAATAGATTGGAACGGTGTAATATAATTCTTTGTTTGGGGAAGAATTCCACGGACAGAGAGAAGCAGACGTCGCTATGAAATTAAGGACTCTGTAACCTGTCGGGATAATACCAAACTGGATCTTCCATCTTTATAACAATTATAATATAAACAAAAAAAAAAAACACATACACAGAAATTTCATTAAGACAAAATATGAAAATTACCACGCTCTGTAAAACTCTAATAATTTCCGAGGTAATGTAAAAACGGATCGAAGCAAAATCGACTTGCGATGATTCTTCGTTTAAAAAGTACCATCAGAACCGGAAATCCTTCGCGTTTACAAAAGAAAGGAAACACGTAGCGTCACGTATTTAATATACCATAAGTAAAAGAACCAGGCAAGTAGAAGCGCATGTAACGAAGGCTTCTTTTCCTTTTCTCTCGTCAACGAAGACAATAGGTCGAAGATCGTTCCGCCGTCACGAACGATAATTATCGACCGCGTCCCTTCCGTGGCGTGCGTGTGCCTCTACCCGGAAACGCGTGCACCGAATCGGTAAACGGCCGGCAACGGGGATGATTTAAATTCTAATCCGGAACTTGCTCGGTTTCAGCGGCGACAGCGGCAGCGCGGACGGATGCGTGGCGATGGCGGCACCGACGTTAGCCTGGGAGGCTCAGGATTGCACCTTGGTTAAGGACTTCATCTGCGAGCAAACGAGATGCTACTACTACAACTACGGCAGCATTCCAGTCTCTGCGACTCAGGGGTAAGAGGTGAGATAATACTTGTCACAAAAACATACACGAAACCGCCGGGAATGACAGAGAAAGAGAGAGAGAGAGAGAGAGAGAGAGAGAGAGAGAGAGAATGAGACAGGCTATCACTTGTGTAGTTAAAGGTGAATCTTGATGGCGCACGGACAAAAAAATAAGTGGGAGGTGGGACAGAGATAAGATAACAAGAACGCTGGAAGAGATAATTGGCGACATGATTCTCGTAGCCGTGTATTTACGCCGGGGGGTTGATGGTGGTTTTCCAAGCGACTCGCGAACAATTTTACGACCACGACGAGGTCCCTTCGTATGCAAATTAATCGGGCGAACGCGGCCTCCGATGCGAATGCGTTTAACGTTAATTGCAGACAAGACTTCTTTGTCTCGTGCGTTAATTAAATTGGTGGTCGTAGCAAGCCACGATGGCTTAACGAGTCGATGAAGTTTTTTTCTCCGTGCAGAATAATGCAAACTGATGAAAAACGCTTTGGTGGATAATGTAGAACTGAGTAATTGATAAGATATGGTACTTGGGAAACTGTTCGACATTCTTTGCTGTCGTTCGAACGTAAACTGCTTATCGAAAACACGAGAACACAGCTTCTTTATAATTAATAACACAGTCTCTCGCTTCTCGCAAACGTCAAATACACGACACACACATACATACATATATTTCAAATGTGAAAAAGCGTGGACACTACTGACTAGATATCGACACCATTGAAATTTATGAATCTCAAACTATCTGCTCTGAATATTATTCTTAGCCAGCAGTAGTAGTGTCAGACGTTTTTCACATACTTCTCATGACTTTAACGCCATAACGAAATAATATGTACTAACATAACTGTACACAACTGTCACAGTTGTTTCTATTTTAAATAACAATCCTCTCTAAATCTCTTCGCTTTGTCGAGACGACAACGCTCCCCTGAAAGCAGATCTGCGCGATTTCCAGAAATCGCAGACCGTACATAACAACCACATCGGCGCCAGCCAGCGACGACCAAATCGACGAGCACGAGGAAAGCAACACCGGCAAGAACGACGAGCAGAATCAGGGCAGCATCGACGAGAAATTAACACCGGAGGAAGAGGAGAGCTCTGTCGATGGAAAATCACCTGAAGACCCGGTCGTCAGCAGGCTGATTACCACGGCCGTTCCCGCATCTGACAAGCAACCGTCCACGTCCTCGCCAGTCGTCATCGAGGATCACGAACAACCTGCCAACGTCGAACTCGACAACGCAAGGCCCGATCATCTTCCTGACATCACGAGCCTCTTCACCGACCCACCAGGCCCACAGGCGCGAAAAGACAACGTGTTCGAGGGCCTTCAGACTCGCGAGGTTCATCGTTCCTCTCTACGCTCCGCCTCCGACATGAAGGTCGAGCATCGAGAGTCACCGGACTATTTCGAGGTCCACGGCGAAACCGAGTCGCCGAACAACGGTCTGGAAGACGCTCACACGATCGGACCGTACGACAGCGTGCAAGATTACTACGTGAACGACCAGCCGGAGGCGGGCGAGTCGTCGATGATGAAGGACCAGGACGACGACAGCAGCACGATCCTGCCAGAAGCGGAACCGGCCTACAGGTACAACATCAAAGTGCGCACCAACGGCAAAGTATTAGACCCTCCGTCCAAGTAACGCTTTACAATTTAGGCATCGCGTTTGTTCGTTTTGATAAGTGAAAGAGAGAGCATGGGAGATACTCGAGGAACTAGATGTATTTTTTAATACGTTATTGTACGTTATTGTTTAATGTGTAAAACGCCGCGGAGACATCGGACTGCGTCGCGAGCGATCCCATCGCGGCCACGCGATCGGGCCGCTCGTCGCCATTTCATCGCTCATCCATTCGTTTCGATATCAAATGAAAGAAATTCCCAAGTCAGTGCTCGTCGGACTCTTTCCACGCCGTTCACGATCGTCGGGGCTCTTTAGATCGACAGAAGGAAGACATTTTTTCTTTTCCTTTTTTTTTAGATCGAGTCTCTCGTTTCACACGGAGACGTCGATGTGTCTTTATATTTCGGACGAGGTTTCGAAAACGTTCGGTCTGCAACGTTCAAAGTTCCAATTTAACTTTATTAGAAATTATCAAAACGATTTGCTCAAAACACACTTGGAAGTGAGTCTTTTCCTTCTGGCGTCGATCCTCGACGATAGCCGACGTCGTTCTCGCAAGGGCATTCACTCCACCGATCGCATCGACAGTGGCACCGGCGGACATGTCGCATCCGCGCGACCTGATCGGGTCTCGATTCTTCTCTATCTCTTCAGCAGTCTCTTTTTTCTTTTTTTTTTTTTTGTATCAGAGCACGTATCCAGTTAAGCGCTATTTGTCTCTCTTAGATAGTAGATGATAATAAACGCGAACGTGAGGACTCATCTGCGTGGGATCTCAGGCATTAAGCTAGTACAGGAGGAAACGCACGGTGAAGCTGCATTATCGTTGTTCTTATGGCTAACCGAATCATCATTGGTGTAGGGTTGGGAGTCTGCCAGTGCCACGAATCTTCATGCATACCGATGTATCTTTAGCTAACGTTATTCGTACGTCTGCAAGATGAAACGTTTCGTAGAGACCGGCCGATTTCGCCCAGATTTTCACCTCGATGTCGTTTCACATCGTCAACCTTAATTTTTACATTTCACGGGGAAGTTAAAGCAGAGAGTTCGAGCAATCTCCAGGAATGCTAAAAATGTTACTCGAGGTCTACCATACGCGCGAATCGCAACGTTTCCGTCATCCAGACGTATGACAATCGGCATACGCGTAGATCCAACATTCACGAAATAATTTCTCCAACTGCCACGATGATAAATCATCGACGCATGGATCATGAATATCACTGCATAAACACGGCGCGAATGTGCAAAACTTTGTGTAATTGAATATTTTAATAAAGGTACGAAACACATTCATTCAGGTATCGAGTCCGATCTTTTCTGTCATCCTTTAAGAACAAGTATCGTCGTGGAGGATCACTTACCAACCGTTTACCACACCCTCGATGTTCAGCATTGGCACTATTTTGAATACATAATCGTCTCGTAAACCGGCTACGTAAGGGTTGCTGCTCAACAGCGCCTCCAATGTACCATCCATCACCCACGAAGCATTGCTCTCACCCGGATGAACCCTCGATGTCAGAAATATCACTTTACGGTTCTGAAAAAGAAGAGAAACCTATTAAATTTAGTTCCATCGATTGAGGAATAATTTATTCTCCATCGTTCTGAATTCTGTCAAAAGGTTAACATTCCCACGTAATAAAATCAACTCCGTTTATTTTCCGCCATCCCAAAAGAAACCTTCTTCTCAGTTATCAACACGTTGCATGCACACATTTTTTTTTTTTTCTCTTGGGAACTCTCTCACCTGTATAGGATTGCTCTTCGAATCTAAGGACGTAATAGTCAACAGAGGATTGTTATTCCCATTCAACGTTTCGCAAAGTGTCTCCGCTCTGAAGTATGTGTTCGGGGGGACCCTCCTGGTCCACTTCCAGATGTTCGTCATTAACAGGCTGTACGTGTAAGGGAAGTGATACGCCAGGTAGCAAACGTCGTGCGCGTGAGGAAACGTGACAGTGAACGAAGTGGTCAGATAATTCTTCCCTTTGGTCGGCCGTTGATAACAATTTCGATAGTAGCAGATGTCAGCGCCCGTTCTCACCCAGCCGGGCCTGCCCAAATGAGCCTCCATCACGCTGAAGAGAATCGGTTTCATACCAAAGTTGAACTGCGAGTTTGCCTTCTCGCAGTTGATGATGTTGAACGTGTACGGCAGGTTTGCCTCCATGTTCGACACCTCGAAATAGAACCACTGGTGCCTGGAACCGCTGTTCACGTCCGGCGTCAAGATCAGATCGTACTCTCTCAGGCCTATCTGCAAGGAAGCGGATTGGAAAGAAACGATGCGGATTCGCCGCGAAGGAAAAACCGACGGAAGCATCGCTTTTCTTGGTAAATTAACCCTCATGTGGATCATTGCATTTTAAACTAACGATATCCATATCAATTTTTCATCGTTATTCGAAAACTTGCCTTTCATTATGTTTTTTTCTGTTCACCGATTTAGTATAGATTAAATACAAGCTGCAATTATTAGATATTAGAAATTAGCATTAGAAATCCACTTAAGGATTTAAATATACACACCCTCGGCCATACCACATGTTAGGATATCCATTCGTTATATTTATTGGAAAATTTCAAAATTTTATCGCAAGATATAAATACTTGTGTTTGAAAGTTTATCTTAGGATAGGTTCTATTTTTTAATTATAATTCCCATGAGAATCTCCGGTCTAGTAATCAATTCGAAAAATTATTTCGTATAAATGAATGTGTTCAAAAGACGAAAGAAGGTGGTTCAGAAAACGAATTTGTATCAAACGCAACAAGTATTCTAATGTCCCACCGATGGCCACACACAGCGTTACGTGAATTGTCGCTATATATTATGAAATATTCATAGAGTTTACCTGAATAACTTTCCTCAGGTTCCCGCTCTCGAATCGAGACTCGAAGTGCAGCTGTTTCGTGTCGGAGCAACGTTTGCCTATTCTGTTCTCATCCCTGTTGCACAAATGATCATCAACCGAGGTTTGCTCGTCACCGTTACCGGAGGCCACAGCGTCGAGATCGTAGACCACTTCTTGAACCAGGGTGCTACCATGAAGACCTCGTTCCACGCATGTGAGAAGCTTCGATCGACAGATCTTCCTGTCCTTGTTGTTCAAAGGCTCGTCCTTACCAAGGCCATCGCCACCGATCAAATCCGGGTAAGCCACCTTCACGAAACCGATCACGCTTTTCACTCTGCTCGCTATCACGCAGTATGCCTGTTGATCCGTCAAGCTCGAACACATGTTGCCAAAGATTTTGATCGCCGTGTCGTTATTCGTTGTTTGACTCCTTGCCGGCCCATCTTTTATTGGATCCTTCGCGAACGTTTTCGTCTTGTTACCGGACACTTTCGTGTCCGTCGTATCGGTTAACTTTTCAGTCGAACACTTTGCCGTGGATACTTGGCTCTGTTGGTTGAACTCTTTGAAGAAAACGTTGTATCTGGACGCAGTGAGAGGCAGAGAAATTCATTAAGCTTCTTTCTTAATTTCTCTCGCGAACGAATACTTTCGTACTAGTTGACAATTTATCCAGTATAATTAAAAATAAGTGAAACGTATGGAAATATAGCGAGATATACAGAAAGGACGTTTCAAAAGAAAGTTTTTGACTGAGTTATATAACTGGCAAGAGAAACGAAGAGAATAGACCAGTGGCTTTGGTATTCACATTAGTATCAACTTTCTTTTGTCCGTCACTGTATACATGAGAAACAATGTCACGATGCCGCCGTGGCAAAGATTTAATCTCTAAAAGTAGGTTCTCTGTGAAAAATACACCGTTGACGTACTCGGTTAAGTCCTCCTCCGATCGTTGCGAAGTGAACACACCAGCAAAGAACTTGCTCTCGTCCACTTCGTCGGCTGCGTTCATAGTTTTCACATTTGTCCTTGAATTCTGGCTTTCTTCTTCGTCCCCGGAATCAAGGTCGCTGTACAGTCTTCCAAGAGAAGCCACGCTACAGGCCTGCATAGAGACGTTTTCATTCGTCGAAGATTACTGACTGCTCGTTAACGTTTTTTGGTACTTAACACGTTTGACCTGAGAAAGTCCTCAAAAACAATTCCCATGTCAACTCGCGTTACAAAATGTTTTATGATCCCATTACGTTTCACCATTCATTGCATCACTCTGCCCGACAAAAATACACACCTGACTGTCGATGTCGCTGCCGCTCTCGGCGCTGTTCGGCCTCACATTCGCTTCAGGCAGCACGAATCTACAAAAGATACCGTGATTTAAGTGATTGTTTATTTAATGTAATCAAAGGTAACTACACTGGAGGATACCATAATGGAGGCAAAAATACAGAACGTTATCAGAAATATTCAAATTAAGTATAAAATATAAGTATACATTGATAAAGTATGGTAAAGAGACAAAAAAATTGAGAAAATAGATGCTTAATCTTAGCAATTTTTTTCAGAAAACTCCAATTATTATTCTAATATTATATATTCTTGAACACGCCCGATTGTTGAGACAGACAACAGACTTCGCAAGCAACATTACATAATACTTCAACAAGTAAGAAAATGTGTCTCAAGGACTTGAAGGAATTAATTAATTAACATTTCGAAATTCGAATCAACTGAAGATTACAATCCCTGTTTCTTGTTCTATTAATCGTTGGCCCAAGTGGAAAAGATAAACTACCGTTGCTAAAAATCGATTCAATTCGATCGATTTCTAGCGACCTCGAGCGTTTCGTTCACCTTGCCGGCGACATTTCGGGCACTGGCAGCTCCTTTTTCTCCAGACATTGATTGATTATCCCGCATATACGCGACAGCAACGAATCGTATGCCTTATCCTCTGGACAGTAGTTGCAGAACCGGTACAGTAGTTGCAGACCATTGTTCGTCTTGATAGCCTTCCGGCCGGCTTCTGAAACGAAGAAAAAGAAGTCCTAGCGTGTAATGGCGACGTAAAACTGCCGCCGGTGGATATAGTCGCGGATATAAATTTGCATGCACCATCCTCCAGCAACAAATGGCAATAGGTCGTCAAAAAAGATAACTAGAGTTGCTCGATCCTCTGAGCAATCAGGCAACTAACCGATTCAAAAAAAAATAATTGCGCAAGAAAAGTCTATGCATGGTGAAAATCCATTACTATGAGCTCTCGATTTCTACAAACTTTTAGTTAATAATTGACTGGGGGGATAAAACTTCAGTACAATGCATTCGTAAGAAAAACAAGTATCGTTCCTATTAATCCTTAGACGTATCGTTGTCTAATTTTTTAATTTTATTACCAATATATCAAGGAGAATAATTAAAATTTTAATAGCACAAATTAGAGTTTACAGTCAATTTTATTGTTCATTAATTATAGTTAATTTTGTATTAGAGCCCATAAAGGCAAGTATCCATGGCAATATCACTAATTATCTGAACTACTATCATATGAATATAAATTATACGATCTACTTTGTCATGCAATGAATTCCATAATAAATCAAAATCAATTTCTCGATTTTATTCAGGAGTAATCGAAAAGCGCGACATCAACGAGCAAAGGTGAATCGTGAATCGGAAACAACACGCAAGTTTTACACCCTCGCAGAGTCAACTTCCGGCCGGGTGTTATCGCAATTTGCAACGCTGAAAGGTCGACGCTGAATAAACTCACTTATGACGCATAAGTGCTGCAACGTGATCAAAGCGCAGTTGCAAATCTTCAGTCGCATCGGGCCGTCGAATCGTTCCCATCTTTCGAAGATCCTCATCAACAGATGCACCAGGCCCACTTTCACGAATTTCGTGCAACAAAGTTCTGCAAAACGAAAACGCACACGCACGCTCGTGTAAGTAAGTTGTATACTCGTTTAATTTACCCGGCTAATTGCTAAAGTTCGATTCGCTGATGGGATCGGCTCGCGCGTCGCTAACGATAAACGAAAATAGGCCTACGTACTGCTCGTTGTGAAATATTTAAAACACTCTAGCAGCAGTCGGAGTTTCAGGTGTGGCATGTAACCGACGCACACGAACGTAATCTCCAGCGTGCTGGCGATCCCGTCCTTCACCAATACTTGAAGAGAGAATGCTGAAAACGCGGCGGACTTAAACAGCTATAAAACATGAAACGAGGTTTGCGAGGTTGTAGGTATTTCTCTATAGTAACAGGCGTTTCTATATTTTTTTTTTATGCTTCCTGCGTACGTGTATTTTCAAATATTATAATATCAAACATTTAAAATAGATGTTTTTAGAGTTTCGGTGTAGGAAATTAACATTACCAGATGCAAAATATATTTAACGTCTACGTGAGTTTAATAAAAAAAAAAAAAAAGAAATAGTTAATTACATAGAAATATCTATAACCTCTTGGCTATAAAAAAAATATCTCGAGACGATGTAGTACTCACAGTTTCTGGCGAGACACTTGATGATCAACAACAACGGCAAGAGAGTCTTGCTGTTGTTGTAATGTTGTTTCAACAGCGTATGGAACACTTTTATGGTATTAAGCATCTTCATTTTTGACACGAATTTCTGGTCCCTTTGGGCTATCTGCGATGTTTGGTGATAAATTGGCAAAATTTATGTCAAACGGAATTGTAAGGGAAACGACCGATTGTCTCACCTGTCCCAAAAGCCAAAGCACCTCCTGCGTGAGGACTTCGCTCGAAATACTGTCCGCGTGCTGCAGGTTCACTAAGAGCTTAACTAAAACTTGCGTGATTCCTAGATTGATCAGCTGCATCACCGCCATTCGGCTGCTGGATCCTGCAAAAGACAGCCAATTATCATTTCGATCGATCATGTACACCTTCGACAGCAACGACGATTTCGATTCTTCTCGAACTCGGTAGAAATCTCTACGATTCTGCGGAAGCAACTGACTTGACCAACTTGTAACTCGGCAGGTTAGAAATTTGCAATTACTTGTGGCACTTTTGTTCTTGTTCCCTTTGGTCTTCCCCCTCGCGACACGGGGTGATATGCATTCGTGTAGTATGCTGGCGATACTGCAGTTTATCACGTGATCCTTGCAATTCTGCGAACAAACGAACCTCACAGTTCCTCCTCGTATGCATTTAATGCATCTCGGGTCGCCGTAATTGTCAAAAGGGAACGCGATCGAGAGATATCCAACGCGCGGGAAAGGCCACGGAGATAATTAACCGCGCGAATGCGTGCGTGCAACACTTAACAGAAAATAGAACGAACGGATTTCCAGTTTTGCATGCAGCAGGAAGCTCTGTCGACAAGTCAGACAATGGGGGACCCACGAGCGTGGCTGATGCGACCTAGCCACGCCATTTCGTGCAAAATGTTAATCGTGACATGGTTATCCGCGCGGTTAATTGGATTCGCCAAGTGTCGATTGAACGTCGTGAACGGGCTTCGTGAAAACGTTCAGCGGCAGTTCAGTCACACCTCTCGAAAATCACAAGCGCGATTTCAAGAAATCGTTAACACCTGTACGTCTCTGACCTAAATCGTCGACTCCGACGATTAGAGTTGACAAAGTTGATTTTAAGCGAAATAGAAAGTTCGATGTGGAGGTTCAATTGATTGCCTATATCTCGAAAATTCGGCGACATCATAAATTTCGTTTACTCATAAAATTTACGTAAATAATCTTTTGGAACAATCTTCTGAACGCTTGGCGTAAAAATTGATTTTGTAACGTTAAAAAAGTAAAAATAGATACGAGTAAATAGTTTAACAAGCATCTTAGAGTCTTTCGTCAAATTTTCCAAAAGATTGGAACATTGAAATAACGAATTTGTCGATAAAAATTGTGTGAAATATGCTTGGACAGAAAAAATCAAGAAACTACCCACCTCCAGCGTTGTGATGAATATTTCCATCGCGCCGGAATTCTTGCGCCATAATTTCTCCAGCGTTCGTTCGCGCACTCTTCGATCTGAAAAGTTAGTAAGTCTGTTAAATACCTGATGCCATAAATTGTAATTAAAAATTCGACAAAAGAAGGAAAATTTCCACAAGGAAAGTCGAGCGATTCGTACACTGAGAAACAATCGTTTCTTAGTACTAATGCGGCAACAAAGTACGATTGAATCATAAATAAATCAATGTAACTTCCTGATACCAAAGCACGCGATAAATGACTCTGTCATAATAAATAATCAATAGAACAGGTGCTAGTAACACTGTCTTCAATGCAGTATCGAGCACATTGGACATTGGCAAAATACGTGGCCTCCGATTTCGGACTTGATGCAAAGCCAATCGTGAGCAATGCCACGAATACTATTATAAAAATTAAAAAAATTGGACATTGTGACATTCCACGCCCAACTGTTGGACCAAGAAAATGTTCAACCATATTATTATTCAAAGGATCATTACATAATGCCTTACGTCGTTACGTTTTCGATGTCTCCTCGAAACTTTTATTTGAACAAGTACGTAAAGTTGGCGCAGCGGACTTACCAGCCTCGTAAGAATGTACGTGTAACATATGCATGAGTGTTCGAACGAAAAAAAAAGGGTCAATTGAACGCGAGCCAGCTGAAAGAGTCTAAGCAAACCAAGCTTGCAACCAGGTTCCAAAAGTCAGGCTCTCGGTGGCATTTACTTTCTCGAGAAACGGCCATTGCTGCAATTCGTGATCCGCGCGACGTAACTAACATATTGAAACTAATCATCGTGAGATGACGATGCAGTATATGTCGCAGTAACGAGCGAAACGTTGTCCAACGAAAGTGAGTGTCTCGTTAGCCAAACGATGACTCACGACACTGCGTCCGCGAGCTTCCGAACGTAAAGAACTATCGATCAACTAGACAAAGAGTCCTTATCAAGTTGGCACGATTGCGATTCACTCGCAGACAGTCGAACTGTCGAGTTGTATCGCAAGCCTCCGTTTTGGACCGTGTCCAAAACTTCTGTCAGCATTAAAGAAAATCTCTTGTGTAATCGAAAGCCGGCTTTTCGAAAATAACAAATGACAGCCAATGTGCGCTCAGACTCTGCTGGCACACCTGTTCGCCAATCCCCAGAACCACTGTCGTCACTTGCCGACGCAATCATAAGCGTCTAAAAAAATAGAAAAAAAGAAGGAAGAGGTAGAACATTATATCGATCGACGTCGATCGCTCGTGATCGAAACCCAGACGTGTGGAACTGGGTCTAAATTCATACGCTAATGAAACGCAATGTCGATCATTTGATAATACACGTGGCGTGCATGGGAATATAATTGCGAACACAGAGTGTTTATCTGGCGTTATTTATGGATTTTCACGACTACGTTATTTATTCGGTGGTATGTTTTGATAAAGGGAAGAAAATGTGTAATATAATATAACTCCGATTACTTAATATAATATAATTAAGACTGAGAAATAGAATTAAAGGCTAAGAAAAATTTTTATACTTTACTTTCATTTAATATTGCTGTTCATAATGTTAAGAAGAAACGAATGAAACGAATTTTAGTTGCGATAACCGAGGCTCTACTATACCTGCATTTGAATTATGTACAGTAGAACCTCAACTGCTTAATATAATTAAGTAGGAAAACAAGACTAAAGACTGAGGGAAATTCTAACGATAAGAACTTATACTCTCGTTCAATATATCGCTGTTTACGCTTTTCGATTTATAAAAAATCATTGTAAATGAAAATTTAACAAAATAATATTTTAAATCAGAATGTAGCATATCAAAGAACAGATGAATTATAAAAAATTTAATTTCTGGATAATTGATTTTAAAATTAATCAAAAAGGAGATTTAATGGTAAATTGATTAAATTGTTTTAATTGAACGAAGTATTAATTGCCCGTCAATTTCTAATAGATATACAAGTCGTAACATGGTTTTAACGTTGATGATAGTAAACGAATGAATTGATATTTAATGTTGCAGATAAACGAATGAACGAATTTTAGTTGATATAATCAACTCTGTCGTACATACGAAAGCGACCTGGATTTAAATTCGAAATTTTTCTTTCCTCGTCGACGACGGAACGTTCCTCGGCGCGTTCTTTGATTTTTCTCGCTTGACGTTTCAACACGAAAGCCGGTCGTTTTACACGAAGGGAGTTCGTGCGTAATGGGAATGAACGGCGAGTCGTTCGATCGAGCGACGTACATAAAACGAAAATTGAGAACGAAAATTCGTAGGTCGGGGAACGAGTGTCGAGTGTTGCCGACGAAAGGGCGGCCCCGTGCAAGCACCCCGACGCGGTACGAATAATAAATTGTGCAAGTTTCTGGTGATTAGCCCGATGAAACAGAAGCCAACGTACGCGATAAAAATAGCAATTTAGCGGCACGAGCCGTCTTAGAGTGTTCAATCTGTTTCGAGTCGTTTAAAACTTTGTTGCCGCATTCGAAACTCGTTTGACGGCGATTCGTTCGCGTTTCCGAAACGAATAACGAATAAAGCGGGGAAACTGGTTCACTGGAGAAAACGTGCAGATATCAAAATTCTACTTTAGAAAAAAAAAAAAAAAAGAGAAAAGAAAATACGGAGAAAGAGCTGTCCTATTTGTAGGATATACTTTAAATCGGCATGAGATTTGATCGTGAAAGTCATACGACGAGATGTGCGAGGTACAACGCAGCTCAAAATGCTCTTGAAATCGTCAGAAATGGAAAAATTTGAAAGAACGATCTTTTCAACAATCTGTAAAGCGTTAATATATTAACTGTATTACAAAGTATACGTGCAATCGAAATGTTTCATCGTTTACGTGTAAAATTATGTAAAGACCGATTGTTAAGGACAAAAAGTGTCCTAATACTTTTAGGCGGGAGTGTACTACGCGCGTAGCATGCGTATATATATTTATGTGTATGCATGGTTACCTGAAGACGTGACGCGAGCATGAATCTTAGCTGCGATGTGCCTGAACGTTTCGGCCTCCTGCGGCTTGGACACGCAAGTTCGTAGCTTCTCCAACAGCGCATCGTTTATAGCCTCGTCCGTGCTTTTGTTGCTCGGTGACATCACACTAGACCGCAAACAACCGGCAATCAAAGCACAATTATCGGCCAGAGTAAGAGCGAAGATACGGGCGTGAAAGGATTGCAAGTCAAACAGCACGCTTTATCTTGGCAAACCGGTGTCGAACATGCAACCTCGTGTGCTACGAAAATGATACGCATACAGCAGGCAAGGTGGGATCGCATACAAGGAACAGCTTGCAAGCAGAACGACGCGGATCGCGCCGCATCGTTTCGTTAGAACTCGTCGAGCTTAAACGAATTTCTCTTTTTCCTGTCTTTCTGTCTTTCTTCTCTCGCGGTCGACAATCGATCGACAAAGATGCTTTGATGGGTCTGTCGTCTATGTATTCTCATTCACACGAAACAAAACGGGTGGTGAGTCTCTATCGCACGACAAAAAAAAAGGATCAAAGCTCACTATTACTTGTCGTACTTAACCAATGGAACGTGGCAGCTCGTCCTATCGGTCCCCTATACAATGTCCTTCGTGCACATCTGCGATGTAAAAATTACTTACTTATTTCACTAGGAGGGAAAAATAGAAGGAATAGAAGAGGTGGGGGGGACGGAGGCGAAGAACGTGGTATCGTTCGCGGTATCATCAATCGACAAGTCCATTGGCGCCGCGCCAATTTCGCGCGCATTAACGCGCATTAATCTCCTTTCACGTACCGTTGGTACGCGACACGCCGGTTAGCCAATGTCGTAGAAATGAAAATCGTACGTCGCCTCGAATTCAAGGTTAATTAACACGGCCAAATAACAAACTCGACTCGATGCTCGAAATAAACCGCCATGCGGTCACGGTGAAAAGCAGAAGAAACGCGCGAACCACCGAACGATGTCGTTTCGTTATCGGCTTTGTCGCTAGTGACAATTAACCGCAATAGCCGATTCTATTTCCTCGACGGAGATTACCAACGATACCTTCGACGGCACGAACTCTATTCTCCCTTTCTCCTGGAGAAGGCGTTGATCGCGATAGCAGACGCTGCAAGTTTCTCGGATCAATTGCCGGCGGTTTCGAAAGCGTCGGCCACGTACGATGGTAAACTTTAGTTGGTGATCAATAGAATCGATATAGTAAGATACGCTTGGAATCGTGAACGTTCGAATCAAAGCGAAATATCGTCGAAGATATCGCGGGATTATTATAGTGGCAACGGAATCTAATGTAATTCTAGAAGCGGGAGTTTGTTTAAACGAAGCTACTATGAAAATGCAGGCAACGAAATGCGCTGATAGTTGACACGTTCACTGCGAATTTCATGTATGTTTTGTCTTAGATTGAGATGTACTACATCGTTTAATTTTTTGTAAAACACCATGTTGTGTTTGAACATGGTACAACATAGTATTTTCATTTACATCGTTGAAAGTCCCGACGTGTTAATTAATTGAAAATTCGGCAACACTTTTCAACCACCTGCATCTTCTTATGGCAATTGTCCGCGTTCAAAAGGCACATTCCAGAGAGCAATTCATTTTCTATAACACAAGTAGATCGATTAAATTATCATCCAACTAATTTTATTAGATATCCTGCGGTAACATTTATTTGGCCGGAATCGTAGTTGTTTGGCTGTGCATGCCAATGTGAATTTTGCAATTAACCTTGCGAGTTCAGCCAAACAACAATGACTAGTCGCAGTCTGCCGGAACGTTTCTCTATTGTTTCTGTCAGTCGTTCTCTCCTCTTTGAGTAAGAGGGCATTTCTCAAGAAAGGCTGGAAATTGAACGTCTAGTAAAGTAGCGTACAATAGCTTATATGCAAGCATACGGTGAATGCAAAAACATTTGTCATTCGTGAAATTTTGGTTTCTGGATAAATTTCTGATTTCATACGTTCTCTGAGATTTGAATCTCATTCCACGACGATTATTTTAAAGAATTCTAGAATTCGAATATAATTTCGATGCTTATCACCTCACGCAAATTAATCGAAAACAGCCACAATTTCAAGAAACTGAATTTCCAACTGGTGTACCAATCATTGAATTATTGAGAATTTCGAATTTAATTTAATTCAGCATTTACTAATGTTAAATTAATTAAATTAACAATTACTGATCTCTGTCTCAGAGAATATAAAATACAAATTAAAATCAAAAACTCGTAAGTCGTCAACTGTGATACTATTTGAGAGATAAAATTGCTCGACAGGCAGTATTTTCTGCATCCACCGCACACAAACGAAAAGAAGCGTGCATCGAAGCGTTCTCCAAATGTGCGTTCGGAACCGGAACCGGAAAACCTGACGCAGAGCGACGAGCACACGCACGAAACGCGGGAGCAGGCGTTTTTGCTAGTGTGGTGGCGATTTTTACTCTTCGTCCTGGGCATCCTCGTCTCCGTCAGCCTCGTGACACGTCTCCATCGGCCGCTGGTTCTCCTTGTCACATTTCTCCGACGCACTTTTCATTTCCTATTCCCCTCAACGAAACTTCCTACGCTTTTACTTCCCTTTAATCGAATGAAAAAAGAAAGAAGAAAGAAATCAGAAACGACGAATAAAACGAAACGTTCAAAATGTTATTCTTTCCGTGAACGACTTGAATATTCTTTCGAAACGCGTCTTCGCGTCGTTGCAATTGCAACTGAACGAGTTTTGCTTTGATTCTACACGTCGCCAACAAATCTTCTATTTTCTCGTTTCCTTTCTCTTTTTTTATTCTCGTTAAGGACGGACAATGGGACGAATGATTTCTCTTTGTTTAATCCGATCACACGGAAACACATTTCATTCTCGAGTACGCGAGTATGTCCGGCGTCGCGCAATTATCACACGAATTACACGAAACGAAACAAGGATCTCGGCCAATGTTTTCCCGTAAAATTCGCGGAACGATCCACGCACTTTGCCACTCCGAGGCGGTTTGACGTTTCGCGCTGCCAAAACTATGTTTAAAAGCATAGCACGCACGCACGAGGCGTCTCTATTTATAGTGACGGCCGCTTTCCGAAAACCGCGCCCCTTTCCTCATATTTTCGATCGCACCCTCCTCGATCGCACCCCTCGATCATTAACCGACGCATCGCTGAGTCTCGTCTCTCGAAAACTGGAAGAAACGGCCGTTTTAGCGTTTACGCCAGTCATCAGAGACGATTTAACCAAAGTTCTATTAAATATTGTTCCTTCCTCACTGGTACACATCGACACGTTCCATCACTTTCTTCACTTCACTTTCGTTCTATTTAATTGACGGAAAAATGCAAGGGAACGTAAAATTCACTAAATCTACTTCGTCACGCGAATTACAAGAAAAGAGAATTTTCGTTTCTGAATTTTTGTTTTTTCAAGGAGGGATTGCAAACGATTTTATAGCGAGAGTTTGTTTCGAAACCGGCGGATTTTAGCGCGCACGCGGAAGCATCGTTTGCGGACGGCGATGAGAGATGGCAGGAGCAAAATTCGCTTGCCAAAAAGATGAGAAACATGTCCAACATTTCCATTGGTGCTTCGCGAAAGATCATTAGTTTATTAAAACGTGGGACAGTAAATTATGACGAACAGGTGAGTTCCCATCTCGAGGTGCGAAGTGTTCAACAGCGTAAACACACTGGAATGATACAAGAAAAGAAAGGCGATTGAAGATCCTGAAATAAATCGGTGTACAGTACACGTTCAGACCCAGTCACCGAAAATAATTATGATGGAATTTCGTGCGATTCCGTCCAAAAGTTCGTGGCCCGGCGAAAACAACGGTAGAATTTCGTATCGAAACAAAATCCGTCGAAATCGGTATACGATATCACTTGGCATTCAACTGGTAAACATCGTCAAAACGAACATGCAATGGCACAAGTGCAATTCGACGATTGCCTGACCTAACCCTTGATCCGCTCGGAAACAACCTCCATATTCCTCGAGAACAAACCAACTCTTATCTTACTACAGTATTTTCACAGTGTCGGGTCTAACAGAAACACAAGAAGACCGGTACGAAAATTCTCAAAACCGAGCGTCACTGTTCGCCCTGGAGAGGAAAAATCCTGTGGAGAAACAGCTGATCAAGGGCAGCGTCGTGCAACGACACCGCCACGTTATTAATAGTAATGTAACTCCGCGTGGAAACACGCTCGACGAGAGAGAACCAAGGAAAATCGAGGAAACGGAGACGGAAAGCAAGAAGAAGCGACGAGGCAAGGAGGCAAGAGGAAAATAAGAACGAAAATAAGAACCGGCAAAGGATAACCTTCGTTCGACGAGTGAACACCCGCGACAGCACGCACGATTTGTCAGGCAGCAAGGTGGTGGCTGCTGGAGGACACGACACGGTGCTTTCACCTCGTCCTCGAACACGATTCGAAGGAACCACCGGCGACGAAGGGGTTGCCACGGAACGTGGTGGCTCCCCGAACGATCGTCACGGAAGCTGACGCGAAGGCAGGTGTATGCGGCACTTGTTGATAAACACGAAAGCTCCCGCGGATTGATTAGTGGCCGTGCGAACTTCCACGAGCACAGTCGACGCCTCACGAACATCTCTGGCTATCGATTTCCGAAAAGGCGCTTTCGTTCAAACTGGTCCACCGGGCTCTGGCTCTTCCTCGTCGTTACATGACCAACTTTTCACGCGATTAATATTTTTACATCACTGTTGATGTAAAATCTCAGTCGTGTATTTTAACAGATTTTACTATCACAGTTGAGTAAATTCGATGAAATGAAAATTTCTAGAAACAACGAATGAAATTATTCTTCGTCGTGGTTTTGATTTGATTTTTTAGTATACGCTTTTTAACAAAATTTTTATGCCCACTGAAGTGCATAAAAAATATGCATTAGAGTTAAATGATACATTGCTCGAAACGATTGTATCTATATATTTTGTCATATTTTGTGTTAATGATTATCTTCAAGTCAAATTTTATAACTATACTGTAGAACTTGCGGTTCGTTTATTAACTATTATTATTTATTAACTAATGAATACTGCTTGAATATTTTATATATTTCAACGGATTATATCTCTCGAATTTTTCATGCATTATCATGTCAATCAATCAAGTCTACAAGACTCTTTTATTTCTATTTAATTGGCGCAATAAAACCATTCATATCGATCACCAAATTTCTTCGAGCAATGTATCATTAATGTTTTTATAATACACTGTCGTATTTTAATAATACAATGTTTTTATGATTCTAATTAAGAAACGCACAGTATAAGAAATATATATTATCATCATCGTTTGAAATCGCCGGTTCAAGTTATTCAAAGAAATAGAACGAGCACTGGAAAAGACGTCCAACAAATCGTTATTTAACGATTTCGAATAAATATTCTGATCGATTGAAACGCATGAAACGCCAATATATTGTCAACAGTAATCAATTTTGGATGGACAACACGTACCTCGAAACATCAGCGTGACATCTGTCCTCATCGTTTTTACTCCCTTGGTTGTCAACGTTGCACTTCTCGCCCCTGGGCCTCACCATCGGAAGTTGTGTTTTGCATTTTCGGCTAACCACTCTTGAGGGCCATCCTTCGGGAGCCATGCTAGAAGCCGAGTCACGGTGAAGATAAGCACTTCCGATTTCGCGAGTTTCGTCGAACGACCATGATTAGGCGATGATGAATGTCAGCCAACTCCACGATTTTTCTACCGAAATTTTAACGCGCGATTACGAAACGGTTAGGTTACTCGCGAACTTCAATGCGAAATGTCATAAATCTCTTTTGACACGAGTGGCGTGAAGTGAACCACGAATTTCACGTCGACGGGTAATTACAGCTTTCTCGCTTTAATTACGTGCCGCAGTTTTCTTTCGCAAACATTTTTTTAATTACACGCCGTGATTAGTTCGAATCGCGTGTCGCTGGATAACCTTGAGAAGAAACGTAGAACGGCCTGAGAGGAGTTAAAAAAAAGAAAACACTTCGAAACTACGTGGAACAATCGATGGAAATCGGCGAAATGGAACACGGTGACGCCAACAGGGGGACATTAGAAATGTAGATTGGGGTGTCGTCGGGCCACACCTTTTATTCATATTCTAGACAACAATTTGCCAACCGTGAACCGGTTCGTGTGCACCTATATCTCTCCACGATCTCGTCTCAGTTATTCTGGTCGAATCAATAAACAAACCTCGCGTTGTAACTCGTCCGAAAATAATATAAAGCCCTGCTGTTATCAATCGCGACACGTTCGAGTAACGTTTCGCAGTATCGTAGCTTCGGTCGAGTTCGATAAAGTATACACACATTTCGTCAAAGGCGACATTTTGTCGAAGCTCGCTCGCTCTAACTTATTCGACGGATTAATAAAAATCGTTTATAGTTTATAGTTTATAGTTTATAGCGAATCCTCGAGAGCCAGAGTCGAAAGCATTTCGATCGTCATGAACGTCGAGAAAAAGAATCACGAGCAAGAATATCCCGTTGATCGTGACGGAGGACCGAGAGGAAACGGCAGAAGAACTACGCGTAGGAGCAAAAGAAAAAAACAATCACGGATAATATTCGACAGGGTGGGGGAGTTTGCTCTCTGGCAAGAATATATAAATCGCGGGTAGGGCTGAAATTCAGGTTAGTAGAGATTGTTTGCGAGCCTATCGCCGAAGCTGTGATCACATCATGCAGGTGAGTCCACTTGTGGATCCGTATCGTTTCTTCAATCTCATGAGGATTTCTATCGCCAACAGCTTTTTATAAACTTTTTATTTTTAATAAACTTGACAAATTTCTACAATGAGACAGAGACATTTGGTTCGATATATATATATATACTTCTTCCTTTTTGATCAGATAGAAAATAAATTTTAAAACGCTGACAAGGAAGAAAAGATCGACAGTTTTTCTAAATAATTCACGAGACGCGAGCATTGTTCATCGAACAACCGTTATGCCTCCATAAAAAAAATCTGTTTCCGCGAATCAGTGCCATTGATATGCGAGCCACGCGATACTGCGCATCGAGCCAGAGCTTGGTATTATCAAAAACATCGGTCGAAAACTGCTTCTTTATTCGACGCAGGCAATCGACCATCAATCCGCGGCTAGCTACCGCATTGTTTCTCGCGTCACATCAACAGACGTATCCTTCTAAATTACTATGAGACTAACGATCGTTTTAATTAAACTCGTTAATTTTCTGTAATTACTGTTCAAGGTCTGTGCCACGTTGCTTGCCTTTGCTGTGATCCAGGTCGTATCGATAGAGTCGAAACCGATCGGGCTGAACTTGTACGTGAGCGGTCATCAGAATCCTTCTGAATTAATCAATGTGCATCCGCAACTTCTTCAGTACCAGAACTCTCCGTTTTACTCGCACAATGTAACGTGTCTATCGAAACATTACGAATAGAATCCTTATTTTTACGAATGCATTGCAGAAACTGAACATACATAGATGATCAAGTCTTTACTTTAAGAGTAGATAGAATTCGCAGATGATTATTTACATTTATGGAAAATCTGAAATACAGAGGACAACCACTCATTGTGGTATTTAACACGTTAATTACCATAAATGTCTTCGAATGATCAAATTAAGATAAATATCATCGATACAAAGATTTTAGATGACATAGATAACTAGATAATATTGTGAAAATTGAAAATTATAAAGAATTATATATTCTTCCTTATAAGGGATATCTTTAAATTTCGCATAAAAGTAAACTGAATGGAACAAATTGTCGTTTAGGTTCAGTTTCTTCATGTATTCTATTCTCCTCCGTTCTTTTTTTTTATTCTATAGGTGGCCGTAAACGCGATTCCAGCTGTCATCGGCTATGGAAAACCTTCGATCTCTCATCTGCCTGCCTATAACATCTACTATGGCACTCCTGTATATGATTTCCGGATTCCACTGAACACGGTGAGAAATTATTTCGCTGTTCGAGATTTCAGTCTCGCCAATATTTAGAGAATACCAATGTTTTCAGCAACGACGATATATTTTTCACTATGAAAGAGTTACTATTTAATACTACAAAGAAAAATGGTAATTTTATTCTTTATAGTACTATCCACTGTTAAAACCGATTCAACCGGGAGAACCACCAAAATCAAGACCGCCATCGACGACCACTGTAAAACCAGCCGATGAAAGCGACGAGGATGCTATCGAAAAGTTGGACACGAAGGTCGAACCAGAAAAGAAAACGAAAAACTCGAACGGGAACGAGGAAAATACCGGCGATGACAGCATTACCATTGAAACGATATAAACTGCCTCACATTTGTCACGAATCAATGCTAATTATTGAATAAAACATTTACATCGTTTCCTTTCCCGTCCATACACGTTCATTTGAAACTTTAGTGTACTTCGATGGGAGTTCTGAGCTATTCGCATCAGTCCAATTAAAAATTTCGAATCCTAAATATATCGAATATTCTAATAACTTTGTTATTAATCTGAAATTAAACGCTACCAATCTTCGCTCATAATATCCTTCATTTCCAGGAAATCTTTGCCAAATAATTTTCCAAAAGTGTGTTTAAACTCGTTTAGATAATAAAATGCTGAGATAACTGTTCTTTAGCATTTTACAATCCGTCGTCAGCGTGATCCCGTTAGCTATTTCGCAATATCGATTGTCGTTTGACTGTCTGAAAAAATAAGGAACACACGTTCGAAAGTTCCATCTCACGACATTTATTTAGTAGAGAAAACTATAAACTTTACGATGGTAAATATCCTTAACCGTTTGAGTACCAAGTGTCATTGAAATGAACGCACCGTCATTTGCATATCGCGGCTCGACACCGTGACATTTTCCAACGGTCCGTATAAATTGAGAGCGTGTTTTTATCAATGCGAATGAAATAAACGAGCGAAACACAGAGTGAATCACAAAGTGAAATTCTTTCATTCTGTGGAATACGTCACGCGTAGCATAATTTTAAATATAATTGTTAAATTTATAATTTAAACATAATTGTTGACCGATAGCATATATATGTATTTATTAAAATAGCTATCTGGACGTCGAGAGCTCCAATTGTGTCGATACGACGAGACAATGCAACAAGAGATAACATTTTCCAGTATTGGCGCCTCGATCGTAGGGCACTCTATTCAGAAGACGAGCAATTAGTCTGTTTTCTTCGCGATAAATCTTATAAATACACGCTGCTATAATTTAGCGTAATTTTTAAACTAGCGAAACAATCGCACGTCCAATAACGAGGTCTCTCACCCCGCGAACGATAGATAATCCGAGGTCAAAGATGCGGTTATGCTCTTTGAATTCCTTCATTTGCTCCGCCGACACTGGGACCGTGCGCATCGATCGTGAACATGACTGTGAAATTTGTTTGGCTGGTCGGTGTTCTGACGCTGACGCTCCTCGTGCTAATCGAGACGTCCGCGTTGAACGAAACGAGGATCAAGAAGGAAGATTATCAGAGATTAAAGACGTACGACGTTAAGGAAAAGGGGAAGAAAGTGAAAGAAACGAAGATCAAGCTAATATTCAAGAAGTGTCACGACGGAGACCGTTGCTCGATCGTGGACAAAAGCGACGAAACGCGCAAGGACAGAATCAAAAGAAACGCGAGCACGGTGAACGAGCTGGAGGACACGAAGAAAAACTACAAAAAGCTGAAGCTGATTCGAACTCTCAGTGGTTTCAAGAAGTGGGCGAACAAAGAACACTCGAGCGACTCTAACGGTGACGAGTTCGCGAATAGGAAGATCAATCCGCGTCACGTGAGCTATTTCGCGAACAACGAGGAACGAACCAGTAGATCGGAACGTTACGCGGTGACCAGGAATTTCAAGGATGACAAATCGGAGTATTATGCGCAGCGGAAAGCGGTTATGGACAGATTTTACGCTCGCCAGAGAGAAATAGCCGAAAAGTACGCGAAGAAAGTATCCACCACTCCTAGATACATCTACAGATACGATTTGGATAAGGAGGCGGACAAGAACAATTTATTCGTGAAGATCAAGACGGATAACACTGATCAAAACGAAACTAGCAACGCGGTGAACGGCACGAGTTACGATCCCGAGACGACTACTTTCGCGACTTCCACGACGACGACGACGACGACGCAAGAACAGGTCACAGAAATGACGACTGTGGCCAATCGTATTAGTCGTTCGAACCAAGATCAAGCCGACGAAGATTCGTATGACGAAGAAAGGGACGACGTGGAATATCGAGAAGATAACAATGACAATCAGAATATCGAAGACTGGGAAGCAGTAAGTAATAAAAGACGTATTCAACAGAATTGTACACATATATTACGCTACAAAGACTTAACAGATTAAACTTAACAGGCTTAATATTCTCTATAAATAAGCTACGAAATCATACAATAGAACTCCATTTACCTGAACTCGTTTAAAAGCAAACGACACAGTAGAAACTTTAGGAATTTTTTTTTTAGCAATTGGATGAAATGAATAAACTTGAATAAAAAAAAGTTACTTTTAATCAATTGTGTTTGGTTCCTACTAATGAAAAATTCAATATACTTTGACCAAATGTAAAAACGACACCTAAAAAGGATGTGACGTTCCAAGTGAAGAAATTATTACGTCCGAGGGATCGAGAAACTCGATTAAAATTCTGCTCCAATAAATGGTATTCAAATGAAGGGAGTTCTACTGTAACATTTAGATATTCCTAATTAAACGATAAATAAAAAATGTGTTCAGGACGACAGGAGGAGCGATACGTTGAAGTATGGTACTTGTTCTGGTAAATTAGTGTATCAGCATAATCTAATTATCGCTGTGCACAAATCGTTACTATCCGAGGTGGACTTGACGACATCGGTGGAGGGACCATATTGCGTCACGTGCATCAGAGTGGTGCCAATGAACAATAACCGTGGCGAGGTAACCTGGGAAGCGAATCGCAGACAAAACGGCAGCTTCAGCACCGTGAAGCTTAGAGTCAAAGGCATAGACGACGGTGAATTATCGTTGTCCGTGAAGGTCTGGGCCGTGAACAAAATATTTAACACTTGCGTCTGAACAAAACGTTGCGCGGTAATATTACATTATAAATAACCCATATAATATCCACCTACCACCCAATTCATAAGTTTCCTCTTAATCTTTTCACCGTCTCCTCAAAAGCCTAATTGACTCCACTTTTTATTAATTTACTGCAACGTAGTCACCAGACTACATTGAGACCGACTTTTTCTACTTCTAAATGATCAAAATAAGAATATCGAATATCGTCGATGAAGAAATGTCAAGTAACATAGAACAACGAAATAATACTACAAAATAAAAAGTTCGCTCTCATTGCGCCTTTATTGTGACATAACATTTTAGAGAAGTTAAATATCCTATCCCACAGGCAAAACGTATGAATTTCGCGCGGCAGTCAACTAGTCAATGTCCAATTACCAAGAACCAAATGACTTGTTCGTCACATCGCAAGAAGATAACACGAATGAATAGTAAATTCTAATAAAAGATAAATTTAAAAAAGTAGTATCCTCCCTTCTCTTTATACTTTCAAATTTATGGAGTTCTTCAATGCGATTTTCGATCGGTCGACAAGCGCGCGTTGTATTCTCCCTGCAAAATCACTGGCGAAAAATTTGTCTCTGTCGTCGATTCATAGTAAAAAAGAACAATTTTTCTCACGAGTTAAAAATTCAGTCACGAAAGGATTTAGTCTCGCTCGTCGTTCGTGAGACAGGCGGCTTCCTCCTCTATGACAGATGCTGTGAGATAATCAGTCTACGACGTAATAAACGTAACTCAAAGAAATTTCGCGCGGATCGGTTCCGGTTCTAGGAACTTTTCGGCACAGCTGTCGGAAGAGGTGGCGGCGGTACGTCTGGTATTTTCTCCTTCTGTTCGTTCGCGGCGAGTTTCTTCTCCTCTTGATAGGCCGGAAGCAGATGTTCGGACAGTCCGCTCTTCGGCGTGGTTGCTGCAATTGGTTCTAAAGTGCCGTATGGTTGGTAGTCAACGTAATAGGTTCCTGGTACTAGATGAGGATTGAATCCGTTGTACGTGTAGAAATAGGGATCGTAGTATAACGACTGATAGTTGGGATAGAAGCTCAGTGGTTCTTGCTCCCGGCTCTTGCTCTTAGATCCAGGCTTCGGGTCTTTATCCTCTTCCGGGCCTGGATTCGTCGCTTCTGGCTTGTCATTCGCGTCAGTTGGTTTCGATTGTTCGACACTGGCGGACGGCTCGGCTTGAATATCCGGCTGACCGTTCGATTTCAACGGGTTCTGCGGAACGCGCGGCACTTCCGGCGCTGCAGCGAGATGAGGCGCCACTTGAGGCGTGTAGTAAACCGGTGGCAAACCGTAACCAACCGCTGTTCGATGGATCACCGGTTGAATCACTGGAAACGCTCTGGACGGTGACAAGTTTTGATTACTCGTGACCACGGCGTTGTACACTTTAGGGACCCTGAGCAATCCTGGATCGCCAGAAGCTAAAGTTATCAACGCGACGACGACGAGTAGATTCATCTGAAAGTGATAAGGTAGAGTCAGAGTAATTGGAGGTAAATGTTTAGCGTGAGACAACGCGTCGGAACAGGAGCTTGTGGCGACGGTATAATCGAGACGGATACAAAGTCGCGTAAGCTGTCGTGTCACGAGGAAAATGATATAGTTCAAAGTCCCTGTTCGGGTACGGCACCGATAAATCTAGCGCAAACACGCGTATGTATGTACACGCAACCTGTAAGTGACGTACGAGACAGTTGCAATTATCAACCGTTGATGCAAGAACAAAGCTATGCGGGACTGTTGGATTACTGCGCGGTGCCGTTATTAATTTCTTCGCGATATCAGTACGATAATAATTCGTACTAACGCTAGTAAACGTAAAGGAACATTGTACACTTGTAAATTTCTAAAATTAGTTCGAACTGTTGGAAAGCAGCATGATTTTTTAACCGCACGATTTAACCAGATGGGCACTGTTTCTCGACGAATAGCCAACATCCACGGATAAAGATCTCGCGTGTGCTTACGCATATAAACGCATACAAAAGAGGCGAGTCACACGTGCGCAGAATAGAATCTCGACTGTTTTCTTCGTAGGTGTATAGCCACAATCGAGTTGTCGCGCCTATAGTGAAATTCTTGCGCCACGTAAGGTTCAGATAAATTCAACTTTGGAAAATTAATAACTGAATTCAACAATTTGCAGCTAGTAGAACGAGTGCATGAAAATTTCTTTAGAAATTGATTCTAACGAAATGCATAGAATATCGGTATCGTGACTTCGAAAGGATCGTAAGGAAAAAGGACGATCAAATTTTCGTATTTCACAGATCACGGCGTAGTCAAAGACGAGTTATCGATAAAATAAAATCAACGACTCAGCTCACCTTTCATTCGATCAGGCTCCCTCTTGGTCTATCTTCCCTGTAGAACAGCAAGGATCGTCGAGAAGCTGACACTAAGTAGCATGAGAGCTGCATGGAACCGTAGTATATATTGCCCATGGGGTCTCAGGGTTCAAGTCCTACCTCCCCCACTACACGCCATTTAGCGAAAGTATTCCACGATCGGTACTATAATGTTCAACATCAGGCCCGTCTCCATCAACCGGGGAACTGCAGACAGTCATTTACCGTGCCCAGGATAGCGATGCACGATCAATGGAGCTGCAGCGGTGGACGTGACGTGCATCGAAGGCGGAGCATTTTTAAACGCGCTCAAAAAATGAACAAATTCCTTACATATTCTTTCGAACGTTTGAATGTTTGAAAATTTGAAAATTTCTTGGTTTAAGGTTTCGCAATAAGAGTGAAAATTTGTGTAATTAAATATTCTTGAAAATTTGAAGAAATTTGGAAGTTTAGAAATTCAAATGTTCGAAAGCTCAGAAACTGTGAAAATCGGAATGTTAAAAATGTTTGAAACTTAGAGAATATTTTCAACATGTGAAAACTTAGAAATTTAAATGTTTAAAACACTTGAGAGCACATTCCTTAAACGTAAACGAACAATGGAAATATTACTATCAATATATTTGATTGTAGAAATCGTATTTAAGAAATGGTAGATATTGGTAACAAAAATGCCAGAAGTAATATACCTATATGACTTTTGTACTATTTGTACCACAGAAAGAACATTATATGCAATATAGTTTCTTGCAAGGAGTTATTACTAGCGGAATAATACAAAGTCTAAACGCGGCAAAGTAGTTATTACTAGCGGAATAATACAAAGTCTAAACGCGACCCATATAGAAAAGATGCGGTCAGTCTTTGCATCGAGCATCTACCAACTGAATCACTGATCGTGTTCGTGCAAACACTACAGCTTGAATTTTTCTTTTAACAAACGCAATAGTTAAAAATAACGTTGGCATTTCATGTGTCATTCGTCAGGGAACAACCCATAATTTATCCACAGATTAGAATGTTTCAAAAAACGAAAAAAAAGAAACGAACTTGAGGACCTCGAACATAGTTGAATATATATCAATTGCCGATTTAACACAACATAGATACCGATCGGTAACAGTAACCGTACACGTTCATGTGTGACGAAATCACTGTCGAATTGACACGCACTAATCATTCAATCTCGAATCAACCGGAAGTACCATTTATAACGAATAAAAAAAAAAAGTAATTCGTCCTCGATCGGCTCACGAAAGAAAAAAAGAAAAAAGCCAGGTAATTAGCAATATTAATGACGTATGTTCAATAACACATACTCTTGTTTACATAACAGTCTTATTGACGAAGGAAAAATTAAAGGACATCTGTTAAAAAAAGCTAACGCTTGCGGAAACCGAGTTAAATACTCTTATTAGTTAAAATATCCTTTTTTCACAATAATTTTAATAAAAATCGTGATCAAACAGTTCTCTATTAATCCTGGTAAAATCTATCAGCGAATATTCATAATCTACGCCTACGCTATGAACTCTTGAACACATTAATATTTGATGTTTTCTAAATTTTGGCACCTTACAGGTAAAGATTGCACAGAGAGAGTGGTACAAAAATAATGGCTGAATATTTTTAATCGAACGGGGAGAATTTTATAATTTAATACAAAGAAAATAATGAAATTATTAATTCAGTGTTCTAGAGCGTCTCACAACGTTTCAATTAAGAAAAATAGCATGCGTTTGAAGCTGCTTGATCCTCGCGTTGTCGGCCAGATGTTTGCGTACAAACATGCTCGGCTGTGCACACGAGACGAACGGATAAACCAGCTCACTGACGTAAGAATCAAACGACGCTACTGTTACCGGACTCGAAAACGCGCGGATCACTCGAAATTTTCGTGCAGCTCGCGCTTTGCGAAACACCGTTCCCGTTATATCGGTTTCACATGTCGGTGATGCCCGTTCCGCTCGCGACAGCCATGGCGAAATCTTGGCAACGGCAACAGCGAAAGAATCGAGACAGGAGAAGAACTGGCCGGACAAACGAATCGTGTGCAAACCTCGATTCGTAAATAAATAACGATAGATCACGGTTTCGATATAGAATTCTTTATAATTTCGGATTAATTGTGCATTGCTTCTTATAAAATTGGTATGAGCAATGACCTTTATAAACTGTATACCTAAATACAACACTAGAAAGTTAATTAAAATGCCTTACGTTAATTAAAATGCCTTACATGACAAATTATTAACCTTACTTTGAGTACTTTTGATTTGACCAAACAACGTGCAAGAAATACGTATTATAAACGAAGCCCCGGTAATTTTTTGTCCCAGGTAACACCTTCGCGTAGGTATCTATCAGGGATTTTATAACTTTTTTCAATCTACAATCTCAGTGTAAATACTCGAAACTTACAGTCGTAAAACTAAACTCTGTACTCGTACTTGAATTGTCAAAGACTCTCGTACATCTTTTCATGTTTGGAATTTTCGAATCCAACGATTCAACAATTCAAGCATCGACTTACCAAATCTTTTACACTGTAAAATTTCATAAAATTTTAACGTAAAAGTTAAAGAGATACGTTCTCTAAGAAACGAGCTGGTCGACGATTCAGCTTGTCAAATTGACTCGATGGGAATGTAGCACATTCTTCTTAGCAACAGTATCGGGAAATTCGGTAGGAATATGATGAAGAGCAGCACTAAGGGCGACAGCAGCAGCAAAATACAGGCATACACCACCAACCACCATACTGTCGATATTCCAAGAATTGGCTCCAGCATCATGACTCCTGATTGGCGATGTCAGTCACGCAGAAACTCTGAAGCATCCGTGGTTCGTTGAAACAATTCGGTTCCACGACGACGATACGTATTTGAAATCATGATCGATCGATATTCCTCCAAGTGCGATCGGGTTAACTGGAGAATTCCTTAAAAGAAAAAAAGAAAAATCGTAATTGTCGCGTTCATTCAGAGGTTCTATAACTTGACGCGAGTTATATATTCACGCATTTCCCAGTATTTTCTTTTCCAATTATGTAAGAGCGTGTTCCAGTGTTAAAAATTCGCTATTAAAATGTAAACGTTAGATAGTATTTCTTCCGCGTTAGTCATGCGCTAAAAAAGAATTGCCAGAATAATCATCATCGATACTTATAATGAATCGTGAAAGTATTTGAACATTTATTTTATAAATATGTTCCCTGCCATTTGAAATCTTTGGGAACTTCGTTCCGAGGATCCAATTGTTAATTGTGTTGGTTACAATATTTGAAATCAATCTGCAAACTTCTAAATTTGTAGAGAAGTTACAAGACGTTTACGTACTTATAACATTTACTTAGAGTAACAATCAAAGTATCAAAACTTACATTGGAAAAATGGAAGAAATGGAAAAAGATTTACGATATAATAGCAGATAAAAATCTACGAATACAAGCGTTCACTTGTATATTTTACGAGAAATCATCGCTGTTGTAAATTGAAAAATTTCTATGTGATTACTTTGATCATTCTGACAATTCCAGTGTCAAATACTTTCTCGCAAATATTACCATGTAACTTGCAGCAGCCAACCTTCAACAGAAAGTGACAAAATAATATCTACTCCATGTTTTTAAGAATTATAAATTCAACTTTCGCAATCGTTACACGAAAGACGATCAATTATACGTTCTAACGATTGGGACGGTAACATTCTAATTTTCTGTCGAAACACACCGTGTATTTCAAGGATACACTTCTTCACACGTTACATCACGACAACAACCAGTTTTACTGAAAAGGTGAGCCACTCTTCCGTACGAACAATGAACTACGCAGCAAACTATGAATGATAAAACGTTACATACTAATCATAATCGGTTATTTTTCTGCTCAACTATCGGGCATAAAGTTTGAGAAACGAAACATACAATTTGCATTCGAGCCTTGCCGCGTAATCGAGCCAGTTTAGCCGGTCGATGATTACGCAACTTCTAGTCTGCAATCATTGTGTAATTTCACCATTGTGATACCTTGAATTTCGTACATGGTGTTAATGAAACATAGAAAGTAGAGACGTATTTTAATTTGAAAAGTAACACCTTTTTTCTCATTAGAAAAAATTTATTTATTTAGAGATTTCCTGAACAAGAGAATTATTAAAATGACCAATTCGTAATTTTTTAAAGATTTTAAAGATGTATAGATATATTTTTAGAAATAAGATCTCGTAAAATACCTGTATGTTTTGCACTGTACTAAAACATTTTCTGAAAATATCGATTACGATTCTTCTTTTCTAATCAATGTCTAAACTGAATAACCAAATTTTTGTATTATTGCCTGTTTGTATTGTTGATTTTTCGTTTGAATAAAAGGAAAAGAGAAATCGTAAAATGCTCAAACAAATTTAAATAAAATAATAATAATAATATATTCGTCACTCAATTGATCATTTTCGCAACGAAGACATGGACAAGAGAGAAAGTTCAAAATTATATTTGTCTATAGATTTTATACCATAACAGACATTTCACACGTAATAATCATCTACTCTGGATGTATTTATTCCTTTTATCCTTAAATATAATTCCATTTTATAAAATTATGGATTACATCGTGCTATTTTTCCTTTTGAACTTTCTTCTGTCTGTACACACATTATTTGAATAAATGCCCAAGCCTGTATTGAACTCGAAAATAACGAAAACATAGGCACGTCCGTGGAAAAAAACACGCGTCGACGAGCTCGTCCTTGTACGGTTAAGTACATATGTACGTGTGCGTTTTCAGAGACCGGTTGGGCAAGCCTCGGCCAACCAAGTCAGACGCTTGGAAAAAAGTATCGAAAAGAGACGCAAGCGAGCACAAACAAACGATAAAAATTCGCGCCGATATCTAAAGGTAACATACTGAAGTAGCATACTGCAACGTGCAAAAGCGAGTTCGCTCTCTCAGGACTCTTGCGCGCGCGCGCGCGCGTGATCGTATCGTGGAAAGTGAAATTTTCGCGATTGCGTAACGCTAGCATAATACTATTATCCGGTGTAGATCGTGGTTACGTATTGCAATACCGCCAATAACGAAGCTACGATTAACCTCGTTGCGGTATTTGAACTTAATATCGAAACGTCTCTCCAGCTTTGCCTCCCTTTTATAAACTACGGCTTATGGCCATCGTTTTTCATAAAAGATATTCTATTTTTGCTTTTGTGATTTTACGCATGCGTCGTATAAATTGCTATTTTTGGACAGTGTTAATATCGAAACATCATCAAATTTGACGCAAATAATTTTTCTTACGATGTTTTTATAATTTTACGCACGTACGTACTTTTACGCATTACGTAATCGTTCGACGATTTATCGAATCACGAAACAAATTACGCAACGTATTAAATAAATTCCGAAATTGTATTATTGTTTGTAATTACAATTAGTTTTACAGTTAATGATAACATTAAGAGATTGATTATTGTTAAAAAAGAAATACATCAAACAATATAGATTATATCAAACGAAGGATCAAAGAGTAATCCGCGGATGTTCAAGGTCTTTCAGAATTTGCGCAATGTAACGTTGCGATAGTTGCTGCGTCAGCGAAATACAATTTGAACTTTTACTCGCTGTTCCCCGACGAATTTGTATTTTTTATATCGAGAGGAAAAAGTGCTTAATGTTTATTTAATTCAAGATGGTTATTGGGTCGAACGAGATGGATAATTTGTGAAGGACTTCCAGATTTTCGATCCCTTCTCCGATACACGTGTCCTTGCTCCGTAAAATTCCAATTCAACGAAACCCGTTTACCTCGTGCGTTCCACAAGAAACCTCGTTTCAATTTCGTATTGTACAGCTGTGCAAATAAAAATGTCTTCCGTTTAATTCTCCTCACGCAATAACCTTCGAGCCAAAAAAAAAAAAAAACAGACTAAAGAATATGGAAAAAGAAAGTTCATAACTAACCAATGGTAATAACAACCAATTCAAAATTAGTAGAAAATTTCAATACGAAAAACGTCTCAAATAATTGATCCATCAAGGACCAATGTTGCAACATCTTTTTTGTTACCGTATTTGTAGCGCAAATACGACGCTTGAAAATCACGTACAAAAAGACGTACTTCGTCAAGTCAACAAAATCTCTCTCGCAATAAAAATCGTTCGTTCTGTAAGAGTCGAAGATTTCCCGAACTACGTAGATACATTTGTCAATTATTTTTTAGTATGTCCTCTTTATTAATTGTCAGGCTAAGTCGCAGCGTATATTTGAAGCGACTTTAATGAAAATGAAAGACGGAAAAAGGCGAACAACAAATAGAAGAACGAGAACTTGTAATATTCCAATATAATCAGGGGGAATTCCAAAGAGATACTGTAAAAATACAGTACACTATATATTCTTAACAGATATAAAAATAAAGATCATTGCAGAACCCTAAAATGTAATCGATATAAAACATTTGAAATGTCTGTTTAATATTTAAAGATTGTATTAATAAATAGTGATGAAACAAGTATGTTTAAAGGAAGAAACATCTCTCACATTCCGATTTTAGCGACTACTTGGTCTCAATCAACGTGCTTAGTCGTCAGACTAAATTAAATAACAAATAGAATTTCATTCGTTGTCTGATCCAGCTATGTTCGATTTTCGACTTTTCGTCCCAGTTTCGAGGCCGAATTATTCAAACATCGACTCACTCGAAGGTTGTGACTCCACTGTATTATACAATCGTAACGGGTTATACAATACACGGTAAGCACGTTCTAAATATACATGGATCGCGGAAAAGAACATGTCAATCGCGCTGATAAGGCGGACGTCGACGAAGATGCACGCGGTTCGATCGTTCCTTACCATTCCTCGATCCAGTAGGATCCGCGTCACGGCAGAATCGTCACCGATCGGCACCGCGAAGGCTCCAGCGAACGATATTCCCAGCGGTTCACACTGTGTTCACCATACGTATGTATCTCGATCGCGGTTTCCACGAACGCTCGGCAAAAATTGATGCGCAGGATCGTTTCTCGTATGCGTTCAGTCGCTTTCCGCGGACTGAGAGCGGCACGTCAGGCTCCTATGCTTCGATGTCCCGGGTACTTTCCCTTTCTTTCGGCGCTTTGAAACCAACGTGCACGAGTCCAGTTGAGTCACCTTCTTGGTAACGCTTCGCCGGCATCCGATATCGAGACTCCTCCTGTCTTTCAGCATTCGACACGTAGGACATTGGACTGGATTCTTCTCTAAAA